CTTTGAACTGTTAAAGAAAGAATTATTGTTTGTAGTTTTGCCAGTGACATTTCTTCAGGCAAAGAACTTAAAAAACAACAACAACAACAACAACAACAACAACTAATTCCTTAAATGAAAAACAATTTTTTGAAGCATACTCTGGGTGTATAAAGCAAAGGTTATTTAGACTGAGATTGACATCAGATACCATTTCCTTTGGTTCTGCGATCCTTTTTGAAGTTTCGCACACATGATTCTTATTGAAGTTGGCAGAAATGAAGATGTTGCTTTCTGTGGCAAACACATCAGACACATTATCACACGTCAAACTGGTCATCAGGAACCAAGGTTGCTTGTTCATCGCTGCAGTCTAGCAGCTTTTAGTGTGATGAGGATGTGTAAGTGTTGACTTTGGATTCACTTGGCTTTGGATTCACTTGGCAGCATCATGGTGATCTCAGGAACAGTCACTTGGCTAAATCCATCATCCCTAATCCTACTGTGTAGGTATTTTAGGACTTGTATTCTTTAACTATAACTTCTTTTTGAATAGTTCTTAAAGGATTTCCCTTTATGTTAGGAATTTCAAATAAAGGTTTCCAATGAACAGGTGTGTGTAGCAATTTTCTCAAGGATAAGACATTCCATCCTGCAGGGAAGCTCCTTAAAACTCAGGAAGTAAACAATTCAAAAGCCCTAGAAATTCCCTGAAGCTGACAAGATACAGTAGGTCCCTCCCTTCCCAAGCATATATAAACAGTAGGGTCTGCTGAGACAGTCTCCGACAAGTCAATCTTCCTAGAAGAGTCTCAGACTAGCCTAGTGGCCTGGAAGAGGGTCAGATCAACTGAGCTTCCTGGAAAAGACACTCTCTAACCTGTCAAGTTACCTGCAAATTTTTCTGTGAGCTCCATGTTTCCAGCTTTTGTGAGCTGTCACCCATGCTGGGGTGGGCTTTTGGTAGTGAAGCTGTCTTTGAGTCATTTCTGCTCTTGTAAGTAACCTCTCAACGTACTCCAGTAAATAACCCCAATAAAACTCATAGTTCATCAAGTTGGACTTTGGAGGTACTTTACTTTGGTCTGTTCCCTATCTTGGGTGAACAGGCATCTGTGCAAGTCTCCTCAGGAAGAATGTCACACATCAGCAGGGAAAACTACTAATACCACTATTGCCTAGATCAAATCTTTCCAAAGACTGTAGCAGGATGATTTCTTCTAGAACAGATTTTAACTTGTTATCCTTCAGGCCTAGCGCATGGACAGACAGATTTTCTGTCTTAACATTTCAATATGGTTTTCACCTACATGTCATTCCTTCAACACCCTAAAAGAAGGAAAGTCTGATAGAACACGTAGTTTATCTTTCATAAATAAAGCAGGTCTAGTGATTTTACACCTGCCAGTTCAGAAGGTGCAGAGGGTTTTTTTTTTTTTTTTTTTGGTTTTTTTAAAACGGTCTCCCTTTAGCCCCAGCTGCCCTGGACCCCACTTTTTAAATTAGGCTGACCTTGAACCCACAGAGATCCGCCTGCCTCTGCCTCCTGAGTGCTGGGATTAAAGGTGTGTGCTACCACGCCCAGCCGGAAGGTGCAGTTTTTTAAAAATTTTATTTATTATTTATTTATTTTTATGTGTATGTGTGTATTGCCTGCATGTAGGTAAGTGCATCCATGTCATGCAATGCCCACAGAGGTCAGAAGAGGCTGTTGGATCCCCTGGGACTGGAGTTACAGACAGTTGCTAGTTGCCATGTGGTGCTGGGATTCGAACCCAGGTCTTCTGCAAGCACAGTGTTCTTAACCGCTGAGCCATCTCTCCAGCCCCAGAAGGTGCAGTTTCTAAGAGATTCAAATTACAATTCAAATGCTTTAATCTTTTCATTCTGTTTATTTCTGTCAGCAAACTCTTCGGTCAGTTCCTAGAAAGATGAAGCCACACCAGACTGGATAGAAAAGCAAACCTAGCAGGCATTAAGTGCAAGAGGATTGTTCGAAAGGTCTACATCTTCTCAGCCAGAGAGGTGTTGAAGTCCTTCAGGGATGCAAGTCAGTTCACTGTGCTGGAGATACAGAGCCTTCTGGTTTTTAGGGCTGTAATTTTATCAGTCAGTGTTTTCAGTCTCTTATGGCTGATGAAGTTCCTGAAGATTTCTAGCTCCTGAGTAGTAGAGGGAAGGGTAATCAGCTAATTATGGTGTATAGCAAGAACCGTGAAGGCAGATAAGATTGGGAGGCTATCTGAGAGTGACTGAGATGACTCAAGTTCATCACTTGAGATGATGAGTTTGGTTAGATCCGTCTGCTCCCATCATTGTTCAGAAGAACTTTCCAAGGTTCTGTCCTACCAGGCTGAGCTGGTCACTGCTCCTTAACGCCTTCAGCAGCCCCTGGAGAACAGATGTGCCACTGTCCCTTGCCCTCCACAGGGAATCCCACCTGGGGGTCCAGCTCTTCACAGGCAGAACATATTCATGCCCTCTGCCAGACTGGATTTCTTTAGGTGGGTTAATAGAGGCAAGAAGACCCACCCTTGAATGTGGTTCACACCATTTCAAGGCCTGGGTTCTGGACTGAATGAGGTGGAGAGAGGCTGATTCACCCTGCATCTTTACTGTGAATGCAATGTGACCAGCTGCCTCAAACTCTCCTACCACTGTGATTTCTCTCAAAATGAAAGCCTGTAATCTTGAACTGTGAGTTGAAATAAACCCTTTTCTCTTGTATTAGCTACTTTTCTGTTGCTATGATAAAATACCTTGACATGAAGCAAGCCAAGGAAGAAAGGCTTTATTTTATCCCTCAGTTCTTGAGGGATAGACTCTATCATGGTGGATGTATTACTTTTCTGTTGCTGTGATAAAACGCCATACCAAGGCAACTTCTAGAACGAAGAGTTTATTGGGCTTTCAGATCTGGAGGTGTAAGAGTCCATCATGGTGGGGAAGGCATGGCAGGAGGCAGTCAGAACAGAAAGCTAAGTACTTTGCATCTTCAAGCAGGCACAGGAAGGAGAGCGTGAGAAAGAAGAGAGAAGGGAACTGGAAGTATGGTAAGGCTATGAGCTCTGAAAACCTGCAACAGGTGACATGTCCTCTAGTAAGGCTGCACCTCCTAAATCTCTACAAACAGCACCACCAACTGGGGCCAAGTGTTCAAATACCTGAAGTTTATGAGGGACATTCTTATTCACCACTGTAGTAGAGAAGGTACCAAAAGAGTGTAACGCCAACATAGGAAGGAGAGAGAGAGAGAGAGAGAGAGAGAGAGAGAGAGAGAGAGAGAGAGAGAGACTATAAAACCTCAAAGCCCACCCCTAGTGATGAATTTTCTCCAGTTAGGCTCTAACTCCTAAAGGTTCCATAACCTTCCCAAACACAGCCACCAACTGGGGCCCAATTGTTTGAACACATGAGCCTATGGGGGACATTTAACATTATTTTAGCAAATAATGTTAAATTTTATCAAAGCAACAGAAAAGAGACCAAGACAAATGTCCATTAGTAAATATAAACACATAACACTATGTGGAAAGAATCATTTATAATTTTGGTAGATCAGTAGAGGATTATATAAGAGAGCTGGAAACATGATGTTCTTATGGTCCATGTGAGCCACGGTCATACCATTTTTCAAAGCTCTTCCATTTTGGTTAAACATTGACAACTGAAGATATTAAATTAACTTGTTTTCCAGAACCAAAGTAACTTGTTTTTCTAGGCTCTCCCTGGCCTGTCAGCACCCAGAAACGGCTGGCCATAAGAAGTGCTTGTCCTTAGACACCTTTTAATCTGCCGCTTGCTTTATTTCACTAGCTGCTCCTATGAACAGCTAATTGTGGTTCAATAAAGGAAAAATTTCCCCTTCCCCTACCCCAGTTTGTAAACGGATGGTGGGCTTACTTCTAGTTCTATAGAAATCCTCACTTTCCATGTTTATTCCTGAATAAAGCCTGTGCTGTAGTTGAGTCACTTGTCGGTCTGTCCTTCTTGCTAATCTTACAGCCTCAAGATAGATGAAGCTATAGCCCTCAGTTACCCAAAGGAAGATGTGCAATGGTAGTGGAGAGATAGCTACCACTTTCACCAAGTGATCAACTTCAGCATTACTAGCAGAATCTGTGTCCCTAAGAAAAGGCACACATTTCCTGTGAAGAATTCTTGCAAAAATACTTAAGCTAATCATGGGGCAGGGGTAAGTTGAATAATCTAGAAAAAGGAATATTCTACAAGACAACTGACCTAGGCTCATCACAAAATTCAACGACTGAATTTAAAAAGGAGAGGGGAGACTGTTAGACTGAAAGAGACTATAACTAATTATAGATAATTAGTTACAACATAATAAAATTGTTGCAAACAATTTGGCAGAGCCAGGTGTGGTGGCACACTCCTTCAATCCCAGCACTCAGCAGGCAGAGGCAGGCAAATCTCTACAGAGATCCAGGCCAGTCTGTTTTCCCTAGTGAGTTCCAGTTCCAGACCAGCTGGGTCTACAAGGAAATTACATTAAAAAAAAAAAAAAAAAAAAGAAAGAAAGAAAGAAAGAAAGAAAAGAATTTTCCAGACAATAGGGAAACTGAACTATATACTGGATGATTTTATGAATTTCCTATTTGATCATCCATTGAAGTTACGCAGGAAAATATTCTAAAGCCATGCATACTAACGTTTGGCGTAAAGAATCCAGGACATTCAAAGAATTTGGCAAGTGTGTGGGCTGTAGACAGAAGACACCTAGAGTAACTAAAATAAAATGTTAATGAAGTAGAGGAAGGTTCTACGGGCACTTTTTGTGCTAGTCTTTAAACTTTCTTGTCCCTAAGAACGTCGAGAGGCGTGGGGACTAACGCTCAGGAAAGGCCACAGCACTTGCATTCAGCCGTCGCCCAGCAAAGCAAGTCAGGTCCCGAGAGCCTGCAAGCCTTTCAAAACTACCGCTCCCGCCGGCCCCGCGGCTCTTCCTATAGGCTGGCGCAGCGGGGGCCCCGCCCACATCTCCCAGAGGCCCGCGCGGGGCCGGCCGTTCTCCCACTTCCGGGGTGAGAGGCGCTGCGGCCATGGAGGCCGAGCCGCCTCCGGTGGAGGAACGGCGGCGGTTGCAGGAGGAGCTGAGCGAGTTCGTGGAGAGCTGCTGCCGGAAGCTGGAGGAAGTCACGGCGTCCCTGGGATGGAGCCTGAATCAGCTGGACCCCGGGGACGAGCCGGAGGCCGAGGTGAGGGCCGCGACCGCCCGGCCTTCTCGGAGGCAGTGGGCGCGCGGAGGCGGGGATGTGCGGTGGGTGTGCACTTGGAAAATGCGTGGGAAAGAGATGTCGGCGTGGGGTTGGCAGGTACTTGCTCTTCTGTTACTAGGATTCCGCATTGCATTAGATTCGATGTCAGGATAGCTGGAGTTCAGGTCACCGTTTCCTGCCTTAAACCTGGACACTTCGGACTTGGATAGTACGGATTCTGGGATTATTAAAGGATACCACTAAGGGATGGTAGCTAGCAACTCATCTGGACGGCAGAATTGCCGTTAAAAGTGATCTGAGCGAATTATCTTGTTTTTTTGTTCATTTTTGATGGGGGTAGGATAAAGGGAAATTCTGCTGTGTGCGGTAATTTTATGTTTTTCCTTTCTGGGTTTATTGTGCAGAAATAACAAAGTTTATGCCACACGTCTGATTCTCTGGAAATATTTGAAATATATTTGATTTACTCATAAGCCCGTCACTATTGTATTAAAACTGAAGTGGAAATTGGAAGGAAGAAAAAAAACAAACTCCAAGTACAGTTATGGGTTAAAACATAGCAACGGGCTGGAGAGATGGCTTAGAGTTTAAGAGCATTGACTGCTCTTGCAGAACTGGGGTTTGGTTCCCAGCACTCACATGGCCCCTAACAGCTGACTGTAATTCCAGTTCCAGGGGATCCAGTGCTCTCTTCTAACCTCCACAGGCATTGCCATGACTCGGGTGCACTTATATACATGCAGGCAAAACGCTCATACACATAAAGTAAAAATAAAACATATAATGTTTTGAAAGTATTTTGGGGACAGTCAGGAAAGTTTGAGATATGTTGGATAATGGAACGAATTTTCTAGACCATTAAGCTGGGCATATGTTCCCATACCATTGCCTACTCAGCATTGCAGTAAAATTGGATTCCTTGTAGTAACACTTAAATAGCACTTTGTATACACCACTGCATTACTTCATCTAAGATTTATGATGACCCTTACAAGGCTGTTACAATTGGCAGCACTTTGCACATGAGGAAACAGAGGGGTGGTAGTTTTTTTCCCCCCAAGGATATGCTATTAAATGACAGGATTTGGATTCAGGCTTTCTGGCTTCTAAGAGTCTGTGTACTTCATTGCTATATAAAACTCCATTGTAAAATTCCCAGATACTGGCAGTAAACTGTGGTGTAATCTAGTGTCTGAAATGCAAGAGAGTAACTGGTTTAAAAATCCTGCTAAATGACATCCATCAACCAGAGAATAGATGCTATCCAGACAGTTAAAGAATTTCCACATTTCTACAGTGTTTTTACCCTGCAAATACTGCTTAGTGAACATCAGTGACACTTTCTGTTCTCATAGATCTTATCATGTGGTGGTAGTGAGGGTTGTGAGGCTGTTACGTTATGTGTGGTAAAGTCTGATGGATGGGGTTGAGATTGTAGTTTTGGCAGCCATGGTGGGTCAAAAGGCTACTGGAAAAGGACCTTTTCCAGAGTGTTTCCAGGTGTGTGAGTTTTGCCTTCCACCTTCCTAGGGTCTCTTGTGTTGTTTTGCTGCTGCATATACCACGCTAGCTGGCTCATTCCCCTCTTGGAGTTTTTTGTGTCTCTGCTCCTATCTCATAGTAGGAATACTGGGATTACACATGGGTTACCAAGCCCAGCTTTTATCTGGGTTCTGAGGATTTGTACTCAGGTCCTTATCCTTGTACAGCAAGTGCTTTACCCACTGAGTTATCTCTCCAGCCCTGGAAAAGTAAATTCTAAGCTAAAAAAGAAAAATATAAAAAATGAGTAGAATTAGTGAAGTGAAGCTCAAAGACAAGAACTTCAAGTAGTTAACTAGAACATTAGAAGGATGGCTGGAGAGCCAGGGTGTGCTAGATAGCTGAGGGAGTCTCAATTGTGGAATTGCCTCCATTGGAGTGGCCCAAGACTATCTGTGGGGTATTTTCTTGATTGTTAGGTGATATGGGAGGATCCAGCCTACTGTGGCCAGTGCCACCCCTGGGTAGGTTGTCCTGTGTTGTATAAGAAAACAGACTGGGCCGGGTGTGGTGGCACATGTCCTTTAGTGCCAGTACTTGGGAGGCAGAGGCAGGAGGACTGTGAGTTCAAGGCCAGCCTGGTCTACATAGTGAGTTCTAGGCCAGCTGGGGCTACAGGGAGACCCTGTCTCAAAAAAAAAAACCCAAAAACAAAAACCAAACCACCAGACTGAGCATGGGCCAGGGGAACAAACCAGTAAGCAGCATTCCTCCGTAGTCTGTGCTCCAGGTTCCTTCCCTGAGTTCCTACATTGGCTTCCCTTGATGATGGACTGTGCTGTAAGCCAAAGAATCCTTTCCTCCCTAAGTTGCTATTGGTCAGAGTGTTTTGTCAGAGCAATTGAAGGCAAACTAAGACAGAAATTGGTACAAGGAGTGGGGTATTGCTGTGACAGACCTGACCTTGCTTTAGGAGGATTGTGGAAGATTTTAGAGCTCTGGGCTGGAAAATAGGGGAGGAGAGAGGATAGTTGGTAGGGTTAGAACCTGATGGCTCTTCCCAGCCATATTAGAGAATCTGGTTGTTTTTAAATGAGGTCAGTGGGGCAGGCACAGACATACTTTTAAGTCAGGGCATAACAAAATCTCATTTGTATTTTATTAAAATAACTTGCTTGCATTGATTGACTACTTCTATGTACTAAGCCCTGTTCAAATTGTTTTATTATATATAAACTCACACATTTATTTAATCTCCTTTGTGGGATGAAGGTCTAGTGTTTCCATTTTATAGATGAGGAAACTGAGTCAAGGAAAGGCCCAGTGTCATGCAGCCAGTCAGTGGCAGAGTTGGGAATTCAAAATCGCTGCGCTGTGGAGAATGGAATGGAGTGCAGAGAGCCTGGAAACAGAGCATTTAGGAGGTGGCTGTTGTAACCGAGAGGGATTACTGACATCCTGAATTGGAGAAGTGGCAGTGGGCATAAATGGAATGTGGAGGGTTTCAGAAATAATTAGGAACAAAATTGATAGGGCTAGCTGATTGCTTGGGTATGGGTAGTTAGAGAAGAGGCAGTTTCTTTCTTTCCCTGAAATAGAAGGGGAGACAGGCTTGGGTGTTGGACTGTCTTCTCTGTTGCTATGATATAATACCCCAACAAAAACAACTTTAGAAGGGCAGGTGTGATGGTTAGTTTTGATTGTTTACTTGACAGAATGTAGAATCACCTGGGAAGGGAGTCTCACTGAGGAATTGCCTAGATTAGGTTGGCCTGTGAGTGCCTGGAAGGGATTTCATTGGATTAGTTAAGGGAGAGACCCACCCTGAATGTGGGCAACACCATTTTGTGGTCTGGACCCTGGACTAAAGGAAAAGGAGGTGAGCCAAGCTAGCATTGCATACGTTCATTCTCTCTCTGCTCTTAGCTGCGCGTGACTGGCTACTTCAAGTTCCAGCCACCTTGACTGATGGACCATGACCTGAAATTGTGAGCCGAATAAACCCTTTCTCCTTAGGGTTGCTTTTGTCATAGTATTTTATCACAGCCACAAGAAACAAAACTAAGACAGAAGTCTGTTTGGTGTATAGTTTGAAGTGCAGCCCATCATGATGGAGAAGTCAAGGCAGCAGGATATTGAGGCAGCTTATCACATTGCATCTGCAGGCAGGAAGCAGAGCAGTGAGTCCTCGTGCTCAGCTTTTATGCTGTCCAGGGTCCCACCCCAGGGAAAGGTGCCACCCCAGTGTGTGGGTCTTCCCACCTCACTTAACCTAATCAAGATAATCCCCCCACAGGTATGCCCAGAGGCCCATCTCCCCTGTGATTCTAGATTTTATCAAGTTGACAATTTTGGCTATCATAGAGACTATGACTATATTGAATATTTTAGTTTATGTTGAATTTTTAGTATGAGTTTATTAAAAATTTATTATTATGCATATGTGGTGGGCAGATGTAGTCCACCTGCCATGGGTTTGTGTGTATACATAGGTCAGGACTACTTTGTGGAGTCAATTTTCTGTTTTCACCTTAATGGGGCTCCAGGGATTGAACTCAGGTTGTCAGGCTGCTTCGCAAGCATTTTGCCCATTAAGCCATCTCACTGCCCCTTGTGTAAGGTATGTAAGAGAGAAACATGGTCTAATGACTTAGATTTGGGGAGTCATCACTGTACAATGAGAGTTGAAGTCATGAGGTGGTGAGGAAGCATGTTAGCAAGTGACAAGAGGCGATTTGTTAGCATGACAGGAAATCCCAGCATTTAAAGGAGAGCAGCTGGAGAAGAACGTTGTCTTTAAAGGAGATCAAATAGGAACAGATGAGTAGAAAGACTTTGAGTAGGGTATCAGGAGCTGGGTATGGTGGCACAATGCCTATAATCCCAGCATTCTGGAGGCTAAGACAGGAGATTGCCATTATGTTCAAGACCAGCCTGGGGTATGTAACACAAGCCTGTCATACATACATATACACACTCGAGAGGCGAAGGGGAGCAGAAATAGACAGGTAGATCCTGACCTTCCGTTACACAGAGGGGAAGCAGAGGGGAGACAGGGGAGGGGTGGCTGTGTTGAGACCTTAGAGAATTTAAGGATACTGTGTCATTCATAAAGTTAAGCGTGGAAGGGACTGAGAGAAGGCAGAGCCTTTAGAAGAAGATGCATTAAGAGACTTTCCTTTTCTCCTGTTTTTAAAAATTATAAACACTTCACATAGGAGTTAAGAGAGACCTGCAAAAAAGAAAATACCAGATTGTAGCACTTAACCAAGTAATAAAAATTAATGGTATAATTGTTTAAATATTGTTTTTTCTTTCTGATTTTTATAGGATGAAATTGTGATATGCCCTTTTGATTCCAATCATCATATGCCTAAATCATCTTTAGCAAAGCACATGGGATCTTGTAGATTGAGGAAACTAGGCTATTCTAAAGAAGAAGAGGTACTATTTATTTATCCCATATGTCTTATAACTCATGCATTAATAATCCATAGTATTTGAAAAGTATATTGTGAGGTCATACGTTACCTAATTTCACAAATTGTGATTTGTGTGTGTGTGTGTGTGTGTGTGTGTGAGACACAGGGTCTCATTAGGTAGTCATTGCTGGCCTGGTCTACATAGTATACTTTGCCTAATTTCACAAATCGTGATTTATATGTGTGTGCGTGCATGTGTGCCTGTGTGTGTGTGTGTGTGTGTGTGTGTGAGACACAGGGTCTCATTAGGTAGTCCCAGCTGGCTTGTAAAGTAGATCATACTTTGCCTAATTTCACAAATCGTGATTTATATGTGTGTGCGTGCATGTGTGCCTGTGTGTGTGTGTGTGTGTGTGTGTGTGTGTCTATGTGTGTGTCTATGTGTGTGTGTGTGTGTCTGTGTCTGTGTGTGTGTTTGAGACAGGGTCTCATTAGGTAGTCCCAGCTGGCCTGGAACCCACTGTAGACCATCCCAGACTAGCCTGGATCTCACAGAGATCCTCCTGCCTCTGCCTTCTGAGTGTTGAGATTAAAGGCCTGTGCCACCACGCCCAGCCCTTGAGATATATTTTAATGATATTGTTATCCTAGAATAGTCAATTATATAGTCTTTAAGAATATTAAATTTTGGGGATGGAGAGATGGCTCAGTGGTTAAGAGCACTGACTGGTCTTGCAGAGGACCCAAGTTTGAATCCCAGCACCCACATGGATGATCTCAACTGTCCATAACTCCAGTTCTAGGGAATCGTCTTCTCTCCTCTGGGCATTGCATGGCCCAGGCGCACTTATATACATGCAGGCAATATGTGGATACACATAAAAATAATAAAAATAATTTATTCTAAAAAAAATATTCTTTTTTTTTTTAATTCTCACTAGGCTGAAATGTATAATCCTGGTTTTTTCTATGAGAATATGAAGATTCCTTCAGTTACTTTGGGTAAGTATATAACATTATAACTGAAAAGTATCCTAGTTTAGGCATTAATTTTTCATTTGAATTATCAAAAGAATATATTTCATTTATTTTTTATATATTTATTTTTATTTTTATTTTTGTATGAGTATTGCTTGCATGTAGGTAGGTGCGCCCGTGTCCTACAATGCCCTCGGAAGTAAGAAGAGGGCATTGGATCACCTGAAACTATAGTTATAGATCATTTGTTGTTAGCTGCCATGTGAGTGCTGGGAACCAAACCCGGGTCCTCTGTAAGAGCAGACAGTACTCTTAACCACTGAGCCATCTTTCCAGCTCAAGAATGGATTTTATAAATATGCTAATGATTAAGGACATTTAGTCCCATAAGAGGACTAAGATTAATTAATACACTGAAAAGCTAGTCCATGTAATGTAAAAATAGGACCAGGCTTGTGGTAACAAGGAGTGAAACCCTACAAGACCCTGTATAGCAGAGCGTGTGCTTGCTTTTTTGGCCTCAGCAAAAACCTGAGTGTACAATCTAGATTGAAGATTAGAGGGAAGGTGAAAATGTGTTCTAGATATTTTCAGTATATGGTTAAAATCTTGCTTGAACTCTAGAAATCTGATGCCTCAGTTCAACTCCTGGTTTCAACACTAACGGATGTGGCTTTTGATGAGATTTTATCTTACTTGTTGCCTAAATTTCTTTTTTGTTATTTTTTGTGGTACTACAGATCGAATCTAGGGCCTCTCCTATGCCAGGAGAGCTCCTCCACTGAGCTGTATTGTACCCAAGACTTTTTGTACTTTTTATTTTGAGACAGTCTTACTAAGTTGCTTTGAATTTATGGTCCTCCTGCCTCTGCCTCTTGAGTAGCTGGAATTATAGGTCTGTGCCACCGTGCTCAGTTCTATTTTGGTAAGTGGGGTGATGATAATCGCATTTTGTGAAGATTAGCGATGATCTGATACACTTAACATAGTGCCTGGGCTTGAGAGATTAGCTGTTGTTGGTTGCTAAAGTTTTGTACATATTAATCCTGCATGCCTGATTAATAAAATGTTTTCTGTACTAATTGAAATCTGATCACCTCCTGGACTGTAGCTAGATCTCAAAGGATTTCATACTCAGATTATAAGCACTGATGTGGATTTTGTTTTGTTTTGTTTTGTTTTAGATAAAGATTCACAATTCCAGATAATTAAACAAGCTAGAACTGCAGCTGGGAAGGATGGTGATCGTTTTAATCAAAGTAAGTGGCATTGGAGATGGAGCTAAGTGGTGAACCAAGGTCTTTTTCTCCCACAAGAACTACTACTTTTCAAGAAAACCCTTGTGAAACAGTAATATTGAAGAAGGATCAAGTTTACATTGTTTTAACTTGATTTATTATTTCCTACTCTAATATACTGGAGGCTCACTCAGACTCTCTCTTAGCTAGGGATGCATATTTTGAAATACCTAGTTGTGAGACTATCTTGTGGATAATTAAAATAAAAATTTTAATTTATTTTATTTATGTGTATAAGTGTATTGCCTGTATGTATATTGGTGCCCCACATGTGTGCAATGCCCACGGAGGCCAGAAGAAGTGTTGGATTCCTTGGAATGGGAGTTATGGATGGTTATTAGATGCCATGTGGGAGCTTGGAACTGAACCTGGGTCCTCTGCAAGAGCAGCCAGTGCTCTTAACTGTTGAACTTAACTGTTGAACCATCTCTCCAGCCCCATGGATAATTGAATGAAGAATTATTTGGCGAGTGAATGCATTGGATGAACATGTCTTTTTACTTGTTTTGGGTTGAGGCTGCCTCATTCTGAGAGTTCCTTTAAGAATATGGAAAAAGGGAGCTGGAGAGATGGCTCAGCAGTTAAGAGTGCTGACTGCTCTTGCAGAGGACACGGGTTTGATTCCCAGCACCCACGAACTGTCTTTAACTCCAGTTCCAGGGGAATCCGAAGCCCTCTTCTGACCTCCACGGCATTGTACAACATGGGTGCGCTTACATACATGCAGGCAATACACTCATACAAATAAAATAAAAACAATAAAATGTTTTTTAAAAAGGTGGAAACATAGTGCACAAGGCTGAAGACCTCTCTAGCTGCTCAGAATGTCACCTGCTTAGTTTGAGTTTTGACTTTCTATCTTTTTGGATCTCATTCTTTTAGATGTTGAATGCCTCAGAAAAAAAGCACACACACAATGTTTTGCATGTGATTTTAGAGGATTTGTGGCTTATTACATGCCAAGATTTAGATCTGTCTTACAGTGTTTCTGCCTGGGATTTTGACAGAAACTAGGATGAGTTTTAAGCATAAACTTTAGAAGATTTAAAAAACAACTTCACCAGAACAGAAGATAGCAAGGTTTAGTTTTTTGGTTTTTGGTTGTTTTTAAAGATAGGGTCTCCTTGTAGCCCCAGATGGCCTGGAACTCACTATGTAGACCAGGCTGGCCTTGATTTCACAGTGATCCACCTGCCTCTGCCTCCCAAGTGTTGAGTTTAAAGGCCTGTGCCACCATGGCCAGCAGTTTAGATTTTTGAACCTAGGTATGACATTGAACCAAAGCATGGCTGGTTCCCCTTAGGAAGACTTCTGAGCCGTCTTCTTTGAGCCTGTTGAGCTTTCTGTGCGCACTGGGCCTTCTTTCTCACTCCTTTTTTTTTTAGTCTTTTTGAGACAGGGTCTCCCTATGGCCCCAGGTGTCCTGGAACTCTCAGTGTAGACCAGGTTGGACGCCAGCTTACAGACATCCGCCTGCCTCTTGCTTCCCAAGTGCTGGGATCAGAGGTGTGCGCCACCATGCCTGGCTTCTTCCTCACACTTGCCAGGTTTAGTCATGGCTGCTTTTCTTCCTTGTTGAAATTTAGTCTTTTCCAAACACTGTTCCAAGAGGCTAGTACCTGTACTTGATTTCTCTTGAGTTGCACTATAGTTTTAGAAGAAATACTGTTTGTCCTTGACCTATGCACTAATTAGCTCCCGTAGCCAGACATTTATTTAAATTTTTTTGGGGGGGGGGGCATTGTGCCGTGGTGCCTGGTGCCTGTGTGGAGGTCAGACTTGTGAGTTGGCTCTCCTTCCAGTGTGGGCTCCAAGGATGGGACTCAAGTCGGCAGTCTTGGCGGTGAGCACCTTCACTTGCTGAGCCATCTTGCTAATACAAGAAACACATTTTTTGTATTTCCTGTTTCAAAACTTCGTTTTTTTGTGCCTATTGGCTTAATTTCAGCTTTTTGTGTGTGTCGGGGAGGAGAGAAATTCACTCTTCAGATTACTGATCTGGGATCAGTTAAGTCTTGTATGGCCTCTGTTATGGATTACTCATTGGCCTTGTTAGTTAATAGACCAGTAATAACAAAAAACAAAATCAAGGATTTTGTTTTTCCAGAGGGTTAAATTTTGTTTCATTTCATTTTGAGACAGGGTCTCCCTGTAGCTCCAGCTGACCTAGAATTCTCCATGTGGGTCAAACTGACCTTGATCTCATAGAGATCCCCCTGCCTCTGTCTCCAGAATGCTAGAATTAAAGGTGTGGGCCACCATGCCTGGCCCAGAGGGTCATTTTTATAAGACTTTGACTCTTAACTGCTTTAGATAGATTTGTGGAATTTATTTTAGAGTTGAAAGATTTCTTGGCAATCATCTTATCCAGTGATAGGACTGTGTTAAAGTTCTCGTGGATTTGTTCCAAAGATTTCCAGTGGTTTTTTATTTTTAATGAAGTTTTTTTTTGTTTGTTTTTCCTACTTTGTTTTTGTTTCTTTGAGACAGAGTCTCCATAGCCCAGGCTGCCCTCGAGCTGGCAGCTATACCTTGGCTTCTCTGGAGAGGGCTGGGGTCATAGATGTCCAGCTGATGCTTTTGGTTTTTTTTAAGCTTTTCTTTTTTTCCCAGCACTTTTTCATTTCTCTTTTACAACAAACTTGGGTTAGGTTGGAAGAGTGTTTCCTTTCCACATGAGGTGAAGAAACAGGGGTGCACAAAGGAAAGTAACTGATCTTTGCTAGATAATAGCAAAGCTAGTTCCATATTGGAATTCTGACTTTAGGCACAGATTCTAAACTGAATTCTTTTATTTGGGTTAGAAGTGCTCCATGTGATGAAAACCATGGACTGGGTTCTAGGTGTTGTTCATACATACTTCTTGTTTGCCCTGTCGTGGTGAGAGTGTCACACTTCAAACGTGGACACATTCACGTTGGTGCTTTCACTGTTTATTCTGTTGAAGTATGACAACTAAGCCTGCTACTTCCCCTTGTAAAAAAATGACTTCGGAGTTTCTGTTCCTTCTCTGTTATAACAATTATCTTGTAGTATTGTAAGAACAGGCGTGACAGATGCTAAACTAGTCCTAGCTGGATTAATTGGCGGCTGCTCTTGTCTAAGTAAAATTTATGTACAGAAATATGAAATCGATGAATTTTATGTTTGTAAATAAATTAGAAAATGTTACAAGTTTATACATTTTATAGCTCCAAGTACTAAGACAGATTTAGACATTGAATTTAGTTCACTACAGAACAGTTACATTAGTTTTTTTTTATTTTGTTTTATTCTGTTGTTTTTCATTCTCTTTTTTTTTTTTTTTATGGTGGTTCTAGGGATTGACTCAAGGCCTTGTGTATCAAAGAATTACTTTTAACAGTTCTTTTCAATAGAAAAGAAAAACTTTTATTTGACTTTGAACTCTTCTAAGATTTCATTGTTTTGAATAACAGGTTTTAAAAATATTTTATTTACCGTTTTTATTTTATGTGTATGAGTGTATTGCCTGCATGTATGTAAGTACACTTGTATCCTGCATTGCCCATGGAGGTCAGAAGACAGTGTCAGATTCCCCTGGAACTGGAGTGTCACGTGGTTGTTAGCAGCCATGTGGGTCTGGGAATCAAACCTGGGTTCTCTGCAAAAGCAGCCAGCACTCTTAACCACTGAGCCATCCCTCCACCCCCTGAATAGCATTTTTTAAAATGTGATCTATAACCGTGTTTTACTTTTCTATCCCATGTAGAGTTCTGTAGTTTTTCATTAGAATTTTTTATGGTCTACTTATATCTTAGATATTTTCAACCTTTGACCTCAGAACAAGAATCTCTAAATATTTTCTTACCGATTTATGTGAACATGAGACATTCCTTCACCTAATTAAGATACACTAAAACGAAAGTGTTTGACAGGTGAATCTAGGTTTTTGTTTTATCTGTCAGGCCTAACTCAATGTAGGGAATGCTTAATCTGCTGACCTTTGCAAGCTTCAACAGCTGTTTCTTCTGGGTATTTATTTTCTCATGCAGCTGTTTTAAGTGATTTTTATAACCAAGATTTTTAAATCATACATGGTAATTTTATACCTAGTGGTTTATCTTTTTCCTTCAGTATTAAATATTCAAGTTTCTGCACCTAAATTTCGTGAAATGTATTTGAGACCAGTATATGCTATACTCTAAAGAGCCAGGTTGGAATAGTGTTAGCCTAGATCTATTTAGGAGACTTTGGTCAAATTTTATCTCTAATGTTAGGGAGTTTCTACATGAATTCTCAATAAAATCACAAATTTGTGACTTAGAGACAATTCCTTTCCTTTCCTTTTTTTTTTTCGGTCTTTTTGAGACAAGGTCTTCCTGTAGCCTCAGTTGGCCTAGAACTCACTATGTAAACCAGGCTGGCCTCGATCTCGCAGAGATCCTCCTCCCTCTGTCTCCTGAGTGCTGGGATCAAAGACGTACACCACTGCGCCTGGCTGAGTTTGGGGCTGGAGAGATGATTCATCAGTTAAGAGCACCAGCTGCTCTTGCAAAAGACCTGAGTTTGATTCCCAGCACCCACATAACCATCTAACAACCTCCCATAACTCCAGTTCCAGGAGAATTTGATGTCTTCTTCTGACCTCTGTGTGCATTGCAATGCATGACACGGGTGCACTTACATACATGCATATTTTGGATGATGAAAGTTCTGGAGAATGATAAAGGTGTTAGGTAGATGTAGTATTAACTTAGTGTCTCTGAACTGAAAAATTGAAAATGATAAAAAGATGGATTTCACTTGTTTTACCACAATTTTAAAGATGCGGAAAGAGAAGAACACAGAAATATAGCAATTACAGCTCATAAAACGTATAGAAACTTGCATTTTGGAATTTTACGTTTCCTGTAAATGAAGCTGATTTAAGTGTGTTTATCCCTTTTTTTTTTTTGTCAGAAATATCTGTTATGAAAGATTTGAATGCAGTTTGTTGCTTAACCTTTTCTGTACTTTTTCTTTTTCAGTAATTGGGGTGAGTATAAAGAGGATTAGAAACCTGAATGTTCCTTATTTAAAGATACACAGTATCCTTTTGCAAATGATATCCTTTTAAAAGTGTCACTCAAACTTCTAACTCCATCTTAATAGCTGTCATTGTTGTAAAAATCTTCATTTAGAATTTTGGTTGAATTTTAAGAAGTTTTATTAGCCTTCATCATAAAAAAAATTTAAGATTAATTAATTAAAGAAAACTCCAAACATAGTTTAAGGAAGAAATTATATTTCTTTGTTTAAAAATAGCAGGCACATGGTATAAGGAGGTTGATTATAATATTAGAATATATTATTTCTAAATTTTTGTATTTTTCTCTCAGATTCTTGTAGTTGATATTCAAAGGAATTAGGCTTCCAAAACTAATTTTATATTGTAAAAGGAAATGTTTTAACATCCAGCTACATAGAGTCTTTGCTAGTGCCTCAGCATCAGAGTGAATGGGTGGATTTAAGAGGGTGCTCTTCCCACTCATTCTGAACCCTTGACCAGTCAGATGACGTGTGTCATTGTCCACACCTGCTCAGCCACAGCCTCAGCTCCAGTGCAGCTCCTTCATTTGTGGATCAGTGTGAAGGCATTTCTTCCTTTTGTTACAATGCTTAGTTCATAGGATGCTCTTCTTGAGTTCTTCTTTTGCCTCTCACCAGAGATAGTAATGAGGTTAGACTTCAGTAGGGGACCTGGGAAGAGCTACCGTTTTCATTGTTATCCAAACCTGAGTTACTGCTTTAGGATAAAGTAGGAAACATTCCAAGAATTTATGTCCATGGCTTGCACTAGAAAGAATTGTTTAAAATCTCTTTATTTACAGTTACAATCATTTTATTTCTTTGAGAACATGTGAATCTCAAAACAAATTTTTCTTCAGTGTTTTAATACATCATATCAAGGTATTGTATTTATTCATTTTTCATTCACGAGCAGATTTTAGAAAGTTCTGTAGCTTAGGGGGCACTGATAGTACCTTTTTTCAGTTGATTTAGTTAAGCCAGTGTATTTCCTCTTTAGGGAATTAAAATGACTTCAGATTGAGTTTAATCTTCTGGTCTGAGAAAGTTTGGGATTTCTACTAATTAAATTTTTTTATTTAGTCTCATGTTTAACCCAGGTTGACCACTTTTTTTTAGGCCAGGCTGGGATTCTCCCATCTCCTAAGTCCTCGGATTACCAGTGTGCACCACCATACCTGTTTTAATTCAATTTTTTGATATCCTACTTTTAAATCATTACACAAATATAATGTACTTTGAATATTGAGTATCTACCTTAATGTCTCAAAAGAGTTGTACTTTTTCATATTACCATAATTTTTTTAAAAGGCCTATAAACGTGCATTACCTATTAAAAACATTTTTAGCTCTTATGAGGAAAAGCATACATATAGAAATAATACCTATTTCTGTAATAGAGGAAGTGTTTATAAAATTTTCCAAAGGCTTTCTTAAAGCCTGTGCTGGTGTATACCTGTCGTCCCGGCTACTGGGAGGTTGAGACAGGAGGATCCCTTGAAGCCAGGAATTTGAGCCATCTTGGGTAATACTCTTTTCTTATCACAAAAGAAAAACAGATTTTTCTGACTAGCAAATTATTTCTTATGATTATTACCGCCTGTCTTCATGGAATCTATCTAACCTTGTTGGAGAGAATAGGAAACATCCATGATACATTACCAATACCACATGGACTTTTTGTGTGTGTATGTTTAAGGAATACTGTGTAAGACAGTAGTTTGTATTACTCTTGTACTGTTATAGCACATGCTTAAAGATATGTAGAAGATTGTGGGTCCACATGCTTCTTTATTTATTCTTGTGGTTTTATTTTGACCTTAGGGATGTACTCTTCAGTGCCTGTTGAAGTTCCTCTGAATCACAAACGGTCTGTTTGTGACCTCACTCAAGCAGATCGCCTTGCCCTTTATGATTTTGTCATTGAGGAGACAAAGAAAAAACGCTCTGGTTCTCAAGTCATCGAGAACGACAGTGACCTCTTTGTAGACTTGGCTGCTAAAGTCAATCAAGGTTTGAGATGAATTCACATCTTTTCTGTCTCTTGTCATTCTGTCTCATGAGTGTTAGTGAAACGCTTTCATTTCATGTCACTTGAGTTGTGGCAAAGTGGTCTTGTATCGTCTGATACTGGCGTATAATGATTCTTCCTTACGAAGGGACTTTTATCCTGACTTCTACATTAATCACATCTTCCCTCTGTAAGAATCCCACTTGTATTTAATCTATGAATGTAGATACTTTTATGTTCATCTAATGGCATTTGTATACATAATGTAGAATATTTTGGATTTTTTATGTACTCCCTTGAAATGTGTTGAACGGGATTGTTCATAACTGCTAGTTCTTGAGAATTTAAAAACTTCTAAGGCTATAATAATTTTATTCTTTCATTAGATAATAGCCGAAAAAGTCCAAAATCTTACCTGGAAATCCTGGCAGAAGTGAGAGATTATAAAAGAAGACGCCAGTCCTATAGAGCTAAGAATGTTCATATAACCAAGAAATCATATACTGAGGTAAGTTTTATGTAATCTTGTAGAGCTTTGTGGCTAGTAAAAATTTCTCATAGTTTTCTGTTTTATGTCTTTCAGAGTACTAGTCTTAGTCTATGGAGATTGTATATCTTTTAAAAGTGTTTCCTTTTGAGAAGGTGGTATTGTATCATGATTTTGACTTTGAATGTCCTTAGTTTGAGTTTTGATTCTGCTGTTTATTATTGGCTTTGTGATTTGGACAAGTTATTTGAGTGCTTTTAAATTCTGGGGTTTTCTCTCTCCTCCCCATTTTATGACAGTACAACTTTGCAAGATTAGTTGAGATAATGCATGAGAACATAGAAATTCCTCAATAAATATTAGCAGCTACCTTCTTTTAGTTTTGCAGAAATCCTAACATGCTTCTATACTTTACCAAGTATTTAAGCCAAAGAAATTTTTATTTAAAAATTTTTTTAATATTTTTTATTTTATGTGTATAAGTATAGTGCCTGCGTGTATGTAAGTGCACCCATGCCGTGTAGTGCTGGCAGAGGTCAGAACAGGACTGGAACTGCAGTTACAAGTGGCTGTTAGTTGTCATGTGGGTGCTGGGAACCCAATCCAGGTTCTCTGTGAGAACAGCTGATGCTCTTAACCAGTGAGCCATCTCTCTCTCTCTCTCTCTCTCTCTCTCTCTCCCTCTCCCTCTCCCTCTCCCTCTCTCCCTCCCCCCTCTTTCTTTTTGGTTGGTTGGTTGATTGATTGATTGATTGATTGATTGATTGAGGCAGGTTCTCACACTGTAGCCCAGAGCCCACACTGGCCTCGAATTCTGAGCAGTCTTACTTCCCTGACCTCCTGAGTGGTGGGATTATAGGTGTGAGCCACCATGCCTAGCCAGAAATGTCTTCACATCAATTGTACATCAGTCTCTTGACATATATCTAGACTTATTTTAGGTATTATTTAGTGGGTAGAATTGATAATTTTTTTGATAACGTAAATTACTTTGGCTAGACCCAATTTCCATACTAAATCCTTAGTCTATATGATTTCTTCTCTGCTTTCAAAGTCTTGTTGCATTCTAGCTGTATTTGTTGAGTATTTTATTTTGCCTTTGTCAAGCATGCCTCCTAAGCTGTCTGTATATTTCTTACCTGACACCAGATATTTCCTTACCTAACATGCTCTTTGTTTTTCCCTTTCTTTTTTTTTTCGGTCCTTTTGAGACAGGGTCTCCCTGTAGCCCCAGTTGGCCTAGAGCTCGCTATGTAGACCAGGCAGGCCTTTTGAACTCAGAGTTTGGCCTGCCTTTGCCTCTCCTGAGTGCTAGGATTAAAGCCTGCGTTAAACACACCTGGCTCATTTTTAAGTCGTAATGAATGCATCGGTCACCCATGTCCACTAAGTACTGGCTACTTCTGAGCCATCGCTGGTTCGTGATACTAGTACCTTGTACTGTACAGCTCAGCACTGCGTTTCTTACAGCTCTTCTGGTAAGGAGAGTATGTGTTTGAGACTTAGCTCTGCCAGCAGTAGTCCAGAACCACGTGATGCTTACCGACCCTCAGAGGCTTGGCTGGTCATCACGTTTCCCTGTTTTGGTCTCATTGTGATCATGTAGCTGCTGGTATTCTTAATATTTAAACATATTAAACTAGATAGCCTAGCCCGAGGACCGTATGTTCCCTAAGTGCCTGTGCCTATCTCCTCCCGCCTCTCTGCTTGATAATTCGCCTCGGAATCTGGCTTTGTTAGCACTTTATCCATTCCTAGACTACTTCATGCCTTACATATTTTTTGTTTGCTCTGAAGTAGAACTTGAACTTTGATACATTTCAGCAAAAAACCATTACATACTATAGATCCTAATACATAGCACACTGCTCCAGCGTGTGCAGAGGTAATGGTAAACAAGGTCCCACTTTTGAAGTTTGAGTTTTGTAAGTTAAACACTATAAAATACAGATTATGTTAAGGGCAAAAATAAAATGGAATCAAAGTGTTTGGGGAGAAAGTGGTTCTTCTTAAAAGATAAGACTGAAGTGAGCTTCTTAAGAAACTAGCTCTGAGGGAAAAGGCAGCAAGGATGGTTAAGGACCCTTACTGGCTCTTTCCCATATGGCAGACCTGCATGAGAGGGGTTCTGTGGACTTAGCAAGCTCATGTAGAGTTAGCCAAAGGGAGTCTGATGGGGCTGCTGAAGAAGTACTGGCTTTGGAATGCAACCGCCGGGGTGTGCGCCTCATACCCTCTGCTGGTTCAGACCACGGTCTGCTTCGGTTCTCCGCAGCAGAATATATAGTGAGAGAGAAGTGGGGGTAAGGGTTTTCCAAATGAAAGGCAGTGGCTGTTGGGAAGGAAGCACAGATGAAAGTTCAGGAGTTTTTTAGGATGACTGGTGCTTAGGGTTTCTATAAAATTCTTTAGTTCCTACTATGTGATGCCGTGAGATCACAGAGGGCTTCAAGGCCTTTGTTTGAGCATTGTTCTGTTTTTAACTTGTGGAGTTATTGAAAGTTTTTTCTGTGGTAGGGGATGAACTGTAGACAGGCCTGAACTATAGTGTCTCCCTGATAATTGCTCCCATTTCTAATACTTTCCTTAAAACATTTCCTAGTTAGGCATGAGCAGAGTGTCAGCTTCTATTGTAGTTTCGCATCTTTCCTGTGACTAGCCTTTGTGCCTGATGGTATGGGTAAAATAGAAAAGACACTTTCAAGGCCTTCTCACAGGTTAGGGATTTGAATTCTGTTTGTGAAAGCTTCTGTGAAATAACTAATGTTTCATACTTTGTCTTCTTGACGTAATTATAAGGTTTAAGAATTATTTGTAAATATTCTTAGAGACGAGTTAGAAGCAGTGTCGGACAGTGTCCTTCACTCACATGGCCCGTTGTGGGATTTTGCCCCTTGTGTCACCCTTCTACTTGCCCTTTCCTTTGCTTTCTGTTCTTTTGTGTTTACATTTAACTACAGAGTTACGAGCTTCATTATGGCATTTTCATGCACATATGACATTCATTATACTTTGCTCTTACTGACCTCCTCTCCGTTGTCCTGTCTCCTCTGCCCCCTCTGGTCCTCTTTCCCTTCATAGGTCGCTTTCTACTTTGATGGCACACTGTCTGTTTTTCCTCTTTCCCTTTTGTTCTTGGACCCAGTGTCTTACTCTGTGGTCCAGGTCGTTCTGAAATCCCTTTTGTACTGGGATTATAGGCGTGGCCACCATACTCTGCCACGTTTCCTTTTCTTTCTGTACATTTTCCACTCTCCATCTCCTGCCCCTGCATATTTTTTTCCTTGAATTATTTAAGAGTCAGTTCTATGTACCATGACTCCTTATTCCAAAATTTTCTCAAGAATAATTTTCTTACATAGTCATAATTACCAACTGTCTCTACCAATTCCTCCATCAGTTTGACCATTGCCTTTTTAGTAGTCCCTAAAATTCATACCTCTTGGAGATCATTATGTCATAGCTCCTAATCAGATTTTGATTGATTCTAAGCGGTCATTTTTTTGCTTTTTTTTTTTTTTGGTCTTTTTGAGTCAGGGTCTCCCTGTTAGCCCCAGCTGGCCTGGAACTCACTATGTAGACCAGGCTGGCCTTGAGCTCATGGAGAGCCACCTGCCTCTGTCTCCCAGTGCTGGGATTAAAGGTGTGCACCATGCCTGGCTTATGGTTTTTTTTTTTTTCCTTTTTTTTAAAGATAAGGTCTTCTATAGCCCCAGCTGGCTGGAACTCACTATGTAGACCATGCTGGCCTCAGAGAACTGCCTGCCCCTGCCTCTGCCTCTGCCTCTGCCTCTGCTTCTGCCTCCTGAGTGCTGGGATTAAAGTTACGTATCACCATGCCTCTCTATATGATCTTTAATTTTAGAACAACTTTCTTACCTGACAGTTGGTGTCTTCTTCCTAGGTAATTCGGGATGTGATAAAAGTACACATGGAAGAACTGAGTAACCATTGGCTTGAAGAGCAGGAAAAAGCAGAGGATGGTGCTGAAAAGTATGCCATTGTCCTCACTGATGAGATGCTGTTTATTTTATTGTAGTTTGTATTTTATTTGATTTTATTTTGCTGGGTTTGGACCCAGGGGTCTGTGTGTGCTAAGCAAGTGCTTTACCACTGATCTGCCCTCCCCAGCTGTTGGGTTTTTGAGACAGCTTTAGCTTTCACTATGCATGCAGCTCGAGCTACGTAGTCCGGGCTGGCCTCAAACTCATAACCTCCTGTCTCTACCTTCCATGTGCTAGCACTATGGGCATGTGGCACTGTGTCTGGCTTGAAATAGTATCTTTAAAAAAAAATTTTACTATTTTTATTTTATGTATATGAGTGTATTGCCTGCATGTATGTAAGTGCATCTGTGTTGTGCAATGCCCGTTGGAGGTCAGAAGAGGGTGACAGATCCTGTGGAACTGGAGATATAGATGGTTGTTAGTCACTATATGAGTGCTAGCGACCATACCTGGGTCCTCTACAACAGCAGCCAGTGCTTTTAACCACTGAGCCATCTCTCCAGCCCCCTTGAAATAGTATCTTAATGTAGTAACTACATGTGTTATTAAATCTTAGCATTTCCGAGACTCTTGGTAATATACTGTAATTCATCAATGTTTATTACCAGTGCTCAGAATTATATTTAGAGTTATACTGTGACAGTTTTAGATATATTGACAGTTTTAGATAGATTGACTTAAGGGGTCAGCAACAATATTAGTGCGATAGTTAATAAAACAGGAGCTGTCTGTCTGACTGCTTTCTTTATGGAATATAAGATTGTGCATATTTATTTGCACTCTGTTGTTGATGTGATACAGAATATCGTGCTTTAGCTTGATTGGTTTGTGTGCAGCAAAGACCAGTGGCAAAAGGAATTGATGAATGTTCTTTTCTGTACTTAGGAATGAAGACAGGCGATCAGCTTCGGTAGATTCACGACAGTCTGGTGGAAGCTATTTGGATGGTGAAAGTTCACGACACAGAAGGGTTCGGAGTAGGAGCCCACATAAACGGAAAAGAAATAAAGATAAGGATAACAACTCTGAGCCGAGAAGAAAGAAAGAGAGGTGAGTTTGCTGACTTACCCCACATTGCTGGCTTCTGAAAAGCAGAGTGGATCCTTCTGTTGTAGACTACAGAAAAGGAAATGATAAGAATGAGCTGAGGTAGGGGAGGAAGTCATGAAGATTCTGTACGGTCAGCAGTTCAGTGCTCATGCTGCACTGTAGTTTTATTTCCCCCTTTGTAGTATTGGGAATTGACCTCGGGTTCATGCATGCTAGGCTCTGCCCCTGAATTATTTCCTTGGCCATTTTTAATATACTTTTGTTTTGAGACAGAGTCTCACTAAGATACCCTTGAACTCATTTTGTAACCCAGGCAGGCCTTGAATTTGTGATCCATTTACCTCAGTTTGCCAGATTACCTGTGTTACAGATCTACACCACCAGGTGGCCAGTTTGGTGTCCTTTTTTAAAAAATATTTATTATTGCCGGGCGTGGTGGCGCACGCCTGTAGTCTCAGCACTTGGGAGGCAGAGGCAGGTGGATTGCTGTGAGTTCAAGGCCAGCCTGGGCTATATAGTGAGTTCCAGGACAGCTGGGGCTACAGGGAGACCCTGTCTCAAAAAGACCAAAAAAAAATTATTATTTATTTCATGTGTATAAGTATATTGCCTACATGTGTGTAAGTGCACCTGTGTTGTGCAATGCCTGTGAGGTCAGAAGAGGGTGTCGGATTCCCTTGGAACTGGAGTTACGAATGGTTGTTAGCAGCCACGTGAGTGCTGGGAGTCGAACCTGGGCCCTCTGCAAGAGCAGCCAGTGCTCTTAATTGCTGAGCCATCTCTTCAGCCTCCCCTTTTTAAAATATTTTATTAATTACCCTTTTTTTGAATCACTTACTTGCTGACTGGAGAGATGACTCATTAGGTAAGAGCACTGGCTACTCTTGCAGAGGACCCAAGATTTGGTTCCCAGCACCCACATGGCAACTAACAACCATCCTTAACTCCAGTTCTAGGGGATCCAGTGCCCTGTTCTGGCCTCTGTTGGCATTGCATAATACGGGTGCAGTTACATACATGAAGGCAAAACACCCATACATGTAAAATTAAATAAATAATTAAACTCTTGCTTCTTAACCTGGACATATGAAAGTAATACCTGGATAAGACGATAACAGTGTTAAGGTGTTTGTAGGGCTGGAGCAATGATGGCTCATGGTTAAGAGTGCATACTGCTCCTGAAGAGTGCTGGAGTTCTGTTCTCAGTACCTGTGTGGGGTCTACTCACAGCTGCCTGTAACTCTAGCTCCAGGGAGATCTGACGCCTCTGTCCTCCATGGGCACCTCTACACACGCATGCATGTGCACACACACATCTGTACACACGCACATATACATGCACCTAAAAGTAAATCTCAGACAAAAAAGGTGTTTGTGTGGCTCTCTGCCGCTCTTCACACCCTCCGTTGTGTTTCTCTCTCTTTTTCCTGCTAATTCTTCACTTGAAATGTTGTTAGAATCAGAGAGGTCCCAACTTCGTCAGTCAACTTTGCCCTTGCTAGTATGATATAAATAATATCAATCAGTTGAGGCAAAATCCTGAGTACCAGCTGCTCACTGGGCATCTCCCTGGGTCTCACTTTTATCAGTGGGGATGTGACTAGAGTGCTTTCAGTTCTCTTCCATATAGCTGTGCCATGTAAAATTTCATCCTGCTCCCTAATTTTTTTTTTCTTAAAGCTTGCCTGATTAACTCTTGTCTTTTAAAACCAGCCCTGTAGGCCAGATGTGGTGGCACACACCTTTTTGCTCGGGAGGCAGAGGCAGGAGGATCTCTGTGAGTTCAAGGCCATCTTGATCTACATAGTGAGTTCCAGGACAGCTGGGGCTACAGGGAGACCCTGTCTCAAAAAGACCAAAAAAAAAAAAAAATAAATAAAAATAAATAATAAAATAAAACAAATCAGCCCTGTTAGGGACTGGAGAAATGGCTCAGCAGTTAAGAACACTAGCTGTTCTTGCAGAAGACCCAGGTTCGAATCTAGCATTCATGTGGTGACTAACAAGTGTGTGTAATTCCAGTTCTAGTGGATCTGATGCCCTCTTCTGGCCTCCACAAGCACTACACAATATGGGTCACTTACATACTTGCAGGCAACCCTACACATAAAAATTAAATTAAAAAAAAAAAAAATCAGGTCCTGGAGAGAGGGCTCAGCAGTTAAGAGCATTGGTTGCTTTTGCAGAGGACCTGGGTTTGATTCCCAGCACCCACACAGCAGCTAACAACGGCCTGTAACTTCAGCTCCAGGACACCCAGTGCTGTCTTTGGACCTCCTCAGGCATTGCATGACATGTGTGCACTTATATACATGCAAGCACTATACTCATACACAAAAAAGAAAAATAATAAAATTTTTTAAAAATGACAAACCCAGCTGTGTTCCTCAACAGAACTATCTTTTCCATTTTGCCACCCACCACCTTACTTAGAACATCAGCACCACACTTAACAGCCACGCTCTCCATTAGAGTGTGGGCTCCTCAAGGTCCTGTCCCACTTAGCGTTACGTGGACAGTGCTTGTCAAATACTAGGCTTTCACATACTCTCTCGTCTCCATTGGTAAAGAATTAGTAAAGCTTTTATGTAAGTCTGACAGCTTTTCTAATCTTATTCATTTAGTCTGTAGACTTAGAGCTGATTAAAAGTGAACCATTTGTTCAGTGTGCCTTCTGATTCATACTGCGCAGTCATTGTACATAACCAGTGCCTGTCTGGCAGAGGTTGTGCTCTTTCCTTTCTTTTAGTATGCTCTCACATCTCAACATCGCTAATCAGTCCCTGTAACCTTAAATACATTGGAAGTCCTCAAAATGTGAACAGGGAGTAATCGCCCCTTAGGATGGGGTGTTAGCAGGAAGTAATCCTAATAAAGCGAGGTGTTGCTCCCCACTCCTGAGGTGGGGCAAATTAGAGACAGTTGAGACAGGAGTCACAGTAAAGAAAGACAATTTTAAAATTCTTTCTGTGCTTTTGATATTCTATTTGAAATGAGGTCTCTGGTTGGTCATCTCACATTTACATATATTCACAGTTAATTTTAAAGCAAGCCTCCAAAATATAACCCTATTTTACTTATCCCTTATCCTTATTTTAGTTTTGATTTAAATTTTAATAATTGATTTTTCCCTTTTTACTGTTAAAAAACTTTCTTCAGTTGTAAATGCATGTTTAGTTTGCCATGGTTTACATCTGATGAAAGTATATTACTATTGCATTATTTTTAAGGTCTAATATTAAAATATCCATCATTTATAATTTTGTATACCCATTTCATTTCAGGGATGGGGAGAGACATCATAGTCATAAAAGAAGAAAGCAAAAACCGTAAACAAAATGTTTATGAATACATTAATTATGCTTATGGCTTATAACCTATATGCTGATATTTTAATTGTAATCTTTACATAGGCGAATGTGTTATGATCATGTAATACTATTTTTAATAAATACTTATATTTCAAATCATGAGTTACAGTTGTGCCCTGCAACTTTGTTTTCCTTAAGTTTCAATGGATACTGCTTATTTGTTTCATTGTTTTTGTAATTTATATAGCATAGTTTTTATAAAAATCAGTGCTTAAAATATGTCAGTTATACATGAATACATGCTCATTGTAAAAAGTTAAAGACAAAGCTAAATTCCGCCTCAGAAGTAACTATGTCAGGACACTGGAAAATCAGAGGAAAGTAATCTGTGTCTTTTTGAAGGGGAATGGTCTGGCTAAGTAAACCACGTGTGGTCATAGGTTAGACTACTGTATTGGTGTTAAATAACCTTGGGGGCTGGAGAGATGGCTCAGTGATTAAGAGCAATGGCTGTTCTTGCAGAAGACCCGGGTTCAAATCCCAGCACCCACATAGCAGCTAACAACTCTTTGTAACTCCAGTTCCAGGGGATCCGGCCGCCTCTTCTGTCTTCCTCAGGCATTGCATGACACAGGTGCACTTACCTACATGCAAGCAATACATGCATACACATAAAATAATAATAATAAAATTAAAAAAAACCTTGATCTGTAGTAACATGGGTATATCTCAGACACATTATATGCTAAAGGAAAATTGCAAGTGGTATATGTAAATTAGAGTTCAATTTATGTGCAAAACGGTGCTATGCATTTCCTATAACTATGTATATGAATGTGGTTTTCAAGATTCCTTAGAATCCATTCAAAATTCCTAACCAGTTATTTGTGGGATGGGGGATATAGATGAGAGGGATTGGGGTGGAGATCAGAATTGGGAGGGTGGTTAGAGGAAACTTCAACTCTATAATGTATATCTAATTTATGTTTTAAAGTATTCATGTTACATTTGATAATTTAAAAACTATCATTTTGTGTCTTGTAAATTGCTTTATGGGGTACTGTGTATGTACATTAAAATACACACAATTTAAAAATATATTTCATTAAATTTGACTGATTTATCCCCCTGCATAACCTCCACTGCAGGATGTAGAATAATCTCTTGCCCCCAAAAGTTCTCTTCCACCCCTTTCCCAGTAATTTCTCCTTGTCAAACCCTAGGGTAGCCAAAGTTCTGCTTTTTGTACCATTGATTAGATTTACCTTTTCTGTAGTTGATATAAATAGTGTGTGCTCTGTCCTCTTCCATTCTAGGGTTGGGTTGTTTGTTTTGTTCTTTTTCTTTTTGTGGCCAAGTCTTGTGACCAAAGACTGACCTGAAACTTATTATGTAGCCCAATTTGACTTTGAATTTAAACTCCTGCACCACCTTCCAAGTGCTGGAATTAATAGGCATGTACATCATGTTTAGTGACTCCAGATTTTTGATAGTGGTCCTTTTGTGTTTGTTGGTAATCCATTCTTCTTTTGTTGATAAATACTAAGTTATGTTTTATCTAGAACATTCAGGTGAGTCCATGGCATTAAGTGTTATGCTTCTCTCATCTAAATACAGTAGCTTGAATATTTGAAACCCAGTTAAAGATTTAATTTCTAAATAGAAAACTTTATTTGAATAAGTAACTGACAAAGATTGTTTGAATTTTGATCAGATTGACTATTAGGCTTCAACCATGAGAGACAGGCTGGGGAGATGGTGAAACACTCTTTGTTGTAGCAACTAGGCCAAGCGGTCATGGATTGAAAGCTCTGAAACTGAGTCGAAGTGAAGCATTTTCTATTTTAACTAGAATTTCTCAGGTGTTTTGCCACAGCAATAGAAAGCTGAGTAGCACATAACATAAGCTTTTTGAGAAAAGGAGCCATTATATTTTCCTTCCTTTTTAAAATTGTTATTTATTTAATTTTTTTGAAACAGAGTCTCGCGTAGCCAAGCTGACCTCAGACTTGCTGAGGTTAATCTTGAACTTTGGCTTCTGCTTCCTCTACCTTCCAAGTGCTGGATTATATGCACGTGCTACCTACCATACCTGGCTTTGTAATGTGCTGAGGATGGAACCCAGGCCTTTGAGCATGCTAGGCAAGCACTACCAACTGAGTTAAAAACCCTAGCCCTTTTTAAATGAAATTATTTTAAAAATATTTTTTATGTGTATGATTGTATTGCCTGCACATATTTAAGTGCACCCATGTCTTGCAATGCCCATGGAGGTCAGAAGAGGGCATCAGATCCCCTGGAATTGGAGTTACAGACGGTTGTTAGCCCCCACGTGGGTGCTGGGAACTGAACCTGGGACATCTGCAAGAGTAGCCCTCTGGGCCATCTCTCCAGCCTCAAATTTAATTTTTGAGACAGGGTCTCAATCTGCAGTCCAGGCCGGTCTTGAACTTACTGTGTAGCCCAAGTTGACCCTGCACTCATGATGTTCCTTCTACCTAACTCCTGAGTGCTGAGATTACAGGCACGTACCACCCTGCCCGACTAGGAACCATTACAGTAATAAAATGATACTAGTAACATCATGACAAGACAGGTACTGTATACCAAGTGCATTATTTTTCTCTCATTACAGCACTCAGGAACAGACTATCTTGTTTTATTGGGATTTGCTTGTTTTATGACCTGCTGAGTTCATCTAGGGTGGTCACGGTGAACATGAGTATTGTGCTGGATAGCTTTAGTTGTCAACTTGACATACCTTGGTAGAAGGAGCCTCAATTGGGGAATTGCCTCCATTGGACCGGCCTGTGGCTGACTGTGGGATATTGATTTTTGAGTGATCTGGGAGGGTGCTGCCCCTGGGTAGGTAGTTCTTCTTTCTTGTATAAGAAAGCAGGCTGAGCATGAGCCTGGGGGGCAAGCCAGTAAGCAGCGTTCCTTCATAGCCTGTGCTCCAGCTCCTGTCTCCAGGTTCCTGCCCTGAGTTCCTACCTTGGGCTCCTTGATGAATTGAGATGGAAGCCAAATCAACCCTTTCCTCCCCAAGTTGGTATTGGTCAGAGTATTTTGTCACAGCAATGGGGAAACAAACTAGAACAGGTATGGACCTTTCCAGTGGAGTATGGTGGACTTATCAGTGTCTCACAGCTGAAGATAGTGACTCCTACCCCAGCATCCATCAATAGCCAGTCCTTCCCCAGGGAAGGGTAGGGCTCCATGATCCCCTTCCCCATCCATGACTGACTGTTGATAGACCTGGTCTTGTGCAGGAAAGCTGTTGAGGCCTGAACAGGCTTTTGCCTCATGCCAACTGTCAAAGCCTCCCTGGTCACATCCCACAGTCTGTCCTCCCACCCTGTGGACATGCACTTTCCTGATTCCTATGTGGACCATGCCCTTGCTTCTCTGCTCTCCCAAGCCTTTGCCTTCAGCAGACAGGGTGGGCTTGCTTTAGAGTTGCTTTAGATGTCTTCTCCACACCTGGCTCTCATGCAGCAGCACTGTGGGGCTTCTTCCCTCCTGTACCTCCTGTGTCCACAGTCCTCACCTGATCCCTTCTGTTCAGGGACATTGGGCTGCTCCCTGGATTGCTGCTGTACACACTTTTTCTCTGAGCTTCTCCCGCTTGTTCTGGAACGTGTGTAGAGGATTCTCAAGCACACAGACCTCTGGAATTGCCATATCTATGTGGCAGTTTCTGACTGCCAACAAGTCAAATGCACCCTTTCCTCCCCTTAACATCCCCAGGGATCTTGAATCCTGTCCTGATGAGTCTGTGGCTGGACTGATGCCTCTCTGTACTCCGAGGTCTCTGGAAGAAGAGGAGGGAAAGAATGCTGAGAAGAGAGGGCTGATTTCCAGCCCAGTTTTGAGGAGTCCCTAGAAGGATGTGCTGCATGGGTGGGTGTGAAGGGCACTTATCTGGTGACTGGGGACTCTGGCTGCAGCACAGTGACCTCATGGAAGCCACTGTGTGGCCACTGCTGGGCGGTGGCACTTGCAATCCTGGTCTGGAGAGCTGGGATGTCTTTGAGAACCAGTTGTTGCCTGGCCCTGCAGCCCCTGATGGGCAGTGGACTATAGAACTGCAGGGTTAACGCCTTTCTCAGATGTCAGGGTTGTAGGGTCCTAGACCCCGACTAGGCTGTCTGCTGTCCCTACCCTCTACCAGCCCCCCACCCTGCCTCAGGACCTCTACCTGCCTCTGGAGGACTTGGGAGATCTCTGGAAAATCCGGCCCCATGGGGTCTGTTCCTGGTAGGCGCCAACTGGCCAGGAGCTTCGGTGTGGTGTGGGAGGCGCCCCAAGCTTTGCGACCCTGGACGGGTCCAAGCTGCTTATCATCTCTAGGGAGCTAGAGGTGCACAGGTGGCCGAAGGGCAGCGGGAGAGTGGTTTGGTGTAACCCGCGTGGGAGATTGGGAGTCCCTCCTTCCCTGTGGGTGTCAGCGCTGGCCCGGGGCTCCATCTTCCTGGCTCCTGTCGCTGGCCATTTGCAGTCTGAGGCTCAGGCTCTCAGCTCTCAGCAGGGAGTCCCAGCTGGCGGGATGGCCACGTGTCACCGCAACTGTGGGACCGCCAGGTCCACGCCAAGTACGCCAGGGCTTCTGCCGTCCTTGCAGTGGCTCCCTGCGGTTACTCCTGCACCAGCAGCGCCCAGAGCGCCCCCTGCCGGCGGTCACCGCCCCTGGCCCTGCTCTGGCCCCCTTGAGCAGGACCAGCAGAGTTGGTGACCGCAGAAGTTCTGGGGTGGATATTCCAAGCCTTCCCTGAGCCCAGTATGTGTGGGGGGCATGTGGACTTCCTTCCCCGCGCCACCCCCAGCCTCCAGAAGAGGTGGACCCAGGCTCATCAGGAGGTCAGAAACTTGACCTTACTCCCATTCCTTCTCAGTGGTGTACTGGCCTGTACTGAGGGGAGGAAAAAGAAAGGGGGCTAGGAAGGCAGGGAGCGAAGACAAGCATCAAGTTCAGGGTTCTGGTGGACACAGTGACCCCAGGAGAGCCCCTGTCCAACGAGCTTCAGGCTTTGCTAAACAGCAGCTGGCACGGCTCCAGTTCCTGATGAAAGTCTTTGGGCGCCTCTGCTTTTCACTGCGAACAGAGTCCTAGAAGCAGAACGGCAAGTCAGGGCTTTATACACTTCCT